TGCTGGGTAGAGGGAGGATAGGCTCCATGGGCAGTTTGTTCAGGATATTTTTCAGTGTTCAGCCAGGGAACAGATTGAGGGACAGTTAGAAAAAATGATTACATTAACCTTAATTATGTTAACCTGAACTTCCCAGTCCCCTCCTTAACATTACATAAAGGGGAAAGCCAAGTAAGATTTTTCAGTAAAAAGGTTAGAAGCAATTTTAGGCTATGTGAAAGGGAAACATGTAATCTTGAAGTAGCTGTTATCCCAGTTTGATCACAAAATTGGAAATACTCTCTAAATGACATTGATCAGCTTTAACATTTTGAGTGATGCAGTAATAGGTGCCCCTCTATGTCATGCCATAAAATGATGTCATTGTTTCATTCTGCATAGTGTCCCTGGCAGGAATGCTGAGATTTGTCCTTCCACCGTCTGTTAGCTGATGGAAATACTTTGTATTATACATCATTTGAAAAGTTTAAGATGCTTATGCTTAGATAGATTGCCATCCCTTTCCAGTGCTGGTACTTCAGGGGTTACTATAGGTGTAATTATCAGTTGTCACTTTAGTAATGGACCTGCACCACCAGTAACCTTACTAAACATGGTAGAAGAATCAAGAGGTGGAGAGAGTATTCGCCATCCAACAGCTACACATCCCAGATGCTCCTCCAAGGCTTGTTTAGACAATGGGGGTTAACCTGCCTGGCTGCAAAGATTTGTTGTTGTAACGTGCTATGAACTTATGAGCTTTTCATTGCGCTCTTAAACCCCATGTGGCCATCCCGCACAACTGCAACTGTACCATACTATGTATTATTATTATTTTTATTTCAGGTGCTTATATAGCGCCGACAAGTTATGCAGCGCTTTACATATATATTGTACATTCACATCAGTCCCTAACCCTCAAGGGGTGTACAATCTAAGGTCCCTAACTTACATTCATACATACACATACTAGGGACAATTTAGACAGGATTCAATTAACCTACCAGCATGTCTTTGAAGTGTAGGAGGAAACCGGAGTACCCGGAGGAAACCCACGCAGGCACAGGGAGAAAATGCTAACTCCAGGCAGGTGGTGCCGTGGCTGGGATTCGAACCGACGACCCTAGTACTGCCAGGTGGAAGTGCTAAGCATTTAGCCACTGTGCTGGGGTGTTGTAAAATTCTAACTGGAATGAATTTAAAAAATAACTTTTTTGAAAAATATGCATAGAGACTCAATATTATCAATTAAATTTCTGCTTATTTGCAATACAGTATATAAAGCAGCCTATCTCAACCAGGGTTCTGTGGAATCCTATGGTTCCTTCAAATATTGCTAGGGGTTCTTTGAGAAATTAATAATTTCTGCCTCTCAAATAAGTAGCCACTGACAGCGATGGTCACCATTTTTTTTTCCAGCTATCTACTCACCTCCAATGTAAGGGACATTCTTTCCACTGACCACCAATATTTTGGGGTCTCTCTGCCAATGATCACCAATGTAAGATGGTCCTTCTCCCAATGACCACCAATATAAGTAGGTGACCACCAAAGTATGGGAACTCTTCAATGGCCACCAATGTAAGGGTCACCATACGTGTTACAATCTGACTGAACAACATCTGTACAATCATTTAGATTTACCAAACTATGTAGTATGAGCACTTATTTGATCTATCCAATCGATCTGTATCCAATCAGGCAGGCTCTTACTTATTATAATTGTTGGTAGATCTAAAGGAGACTGAACAGATGTTGTTCAGTCAGATTGTAACACGTATAGTTAACCTTACATTGGTGGTCAGTTAAGAAGGACCTACTTGTACAGAAGAACCACCAATTTGAGGGAACACTATATTATTTTTAAGACATTATTGTTTCCTTTCATTATTATTACTAAAAATAACTTTGTTAAAGCAGCCCTGGGAATCAAATAGTTGAGTATGTCACAGGCTTTTTTTTTTTTTTTTTGTTCATGCTAATATATTGTGAACTGTAACTATAGTAATTATTAGTAGGGGATCCTTGAAACCCAAAAGTTGTTTTAAGGGTTCCTCCTGAGAAAAGCTGGCATAAGATAACAATAGCATGTGGTACTGCTTTAAGGAAAACTGTATTGAGAGGGGCTGTCATTGCTGACCTCCTCCTGATAAATGATGGATAATTCGTGTTTTAGTGCCATGACAGTCTGTAGCAATATTTGTATATATATGGTGCAGCATGCTGGAAAGTTTCCATAGTCCATGCATAAAATGACTTGCAGAAGTGCTGATTAGATGAGAAGCAGAGACATTCCTTTTACTGCATGAGAGGGGTAAACAGATGATAGAATTTGTTGAATTTGCTGCAATCGGTAGTTACATCCTAGACTATTCTAATATTGCTAAAAATATACTGTGTGTGGGAAGCACAATTAGCCAATACTCAGCAAATATGATGAAACGCCATCGCTTGTTAATGATTTGACACGTGAAATGGAGAAAATATCACCCTCCATTCCACGAGCAGGGCCCTCACTTTCCTTCTGTATTGAAATGTATTGTAATTGTACTGTCTCCCTTATATTGTAAAGCGCTGCGCAAACTGTTGGCGCTATATAAATCCTGTATAATAATAATATAACACAGTTACCCCATAGCCTTTGTCACTTCAGATTGGAGGACAATAGTCTAAAATGGCTAAAATCTCATCTACTTTTCTCCTGACATAGATTTTCCTGATTGCTATGAGTGTGGCCAGTTTTATTTTGATCAAATCATAATTATATAAATGGCATCATATAAGATGTGGTCATTAAATTGTATGTATTGTCTAAGTGTTTTTTTCTCCAGTTTTGTTAATTTGCGTCTTGCTGTCTGTGTCCCATTGGGGAGATTTCCTCAAACTTCTTATTCAGAAGATGCAACATTTCTCTTTACTTCCTGTTCTGGTGACAACTGTAAAAATTTAGATTACCTATCTTTTACCATGCGAAATAGAAAGGCTGACTCTACACAAATGGCAATAAGGATCCGACATGGTTATCTAATACTAGAAAGAAAAAGGTTGGGTATCCATACTCTTTACATCTATGCATAATTGTCTATGGATGCCAGGATATTGATTAGATAACCTGGAATATTGTTCAGATCCATGTAACTGGTTAGGTTGTGGTGAGTGAAAAGGAGGGAGTGCAAAAATACACAGAACTTGCGCCTAAAAAACAAGGGCTTATTACTTATTTATTGATTTTGGGCATAGGAGTGCTCCTTTATGTCCTGGTGGTCAATAATATTCCCAGATAGAAAGGTTATAACACAGATACAGCCTAAAACTTGGAGCCAGTTTGCTTACAGCTGTTTCTGGCTTAGCTTTCTGTAGGTTGTTATCACCTGTAGGCTTCTGTTGAGTGTGACTTGGGGCTTAGAGCCAAAGACTCAACCTGCAGAATTTACTCTAGGCCTTCAAAACTCACACAGTGTGGCCATAAGCCTGTAAGATGTCCATTTTTAAATAAAACAATAACATTTCATGCTTTTTAACCTTTAAAATCAAAGGAAAAGTTTAAATGGCGAATGTGGGGACATGTTCTAGACAAATTTGGGCACACAGATGGGTAAAATGGAGCAGTCATGGTTTGGTCTCCTGACCCCAGAAGCAGTGTCACTCTCTACCACACTGTATTTACACTAGGAAATACATCGGATATTAAAAGAGGTTTTCCATATTTAGGTATCCCAATTAGAACCCACACCAATCATCTATATTACCAGTGCTGACAAGTAACTTGTAGTCTGACAGAAAGTTTAACTAGAGCAGTGTGACTTAGTTTCAGAACCAAAATGGTTTCCTTTGTGGGTTATTCCAAAAAAATAAAGTGCAAACTTTGTGAGATATTGAAAAGTGAGTGGTCTTTGAGGGAAGCTGAAGAAAGCTTTTCAGATCGCAGCAATGATAGCAGCTCTGAGCAGTAATGATGGAATTAATCAGTAATACCTAGTGGAGAAAGCCATGGTCTTGCTGTTAAACTAGCTGACGACACATGAAGGAAGGTCACAACATTGTCATAGAATTTTGTAGAAGGCTCAAATAATGCAAAAAAGATGTTCAGTTTGTGTATATGCATGCTACCAATGCCTTATGATCAACAGTGGAAAATTGTGAAACTAGGAAGCAAACTATACATTTTTTGCACGTATATAATAACATATTATATATGCATTTTTGAAGATATAATGGTTAATTCAGCCTGAGTAAAAATTTGCCTAACAGTATCTACAACAGCCTTTCTCAAACATTTTACCCAAGAGGGACCCTTAAAATAATTTTAAAGTTTCAGGGAAACCATTACTGTAATGATTATATCTACAGGTCACAGTACATTAGCATGATCAGTAAGTTGTAGAGCATTTTGGTCTATATGGTAATAATACATGAAACAAATAATAGTGGCCTGTAAGAAATACTAACTGAAAATTGTAGTGTCTACATACATTTGTTATCAGTGAAGAAATCCTCTTTACATTAGTGATCCGTGTAGAAATGACCCCTTACAATAGATATCAGTGGGAAATTGCCCCCTTACATTGGTGGATACCGTAGGTAGAGAAGACCAATCTGTCACTGCTCAGTATTTGGAGAACCCCTAGAAACTTCTGGAGGAACCCTGGTCTAAAATATCTCTTGCTCTCTCTCCTAATCTATCTATCTATCTATCTATCTATCTATCTATCTATCTATCTATCTATCTATCTATCCCTCAAAAGGGATATAGATGATCATCAATTATATGTGGAGGTTTCCTACAGGTGTCAATTAAGGGAGGGAGTAAAAGTATGCCTTGATGGCTACCATTCCTCTTCTGCAAATGTTGAAAAGTGAAAATGGGAAACCAGCTTAGTCTATCTATCTATCTTTTATATACATTTATAGAGTTCATTAATCTCTTCCTGGATAAATACATCATATGGTGAATTAACATATTTCAATGTATTCCTGGGATTACCTAATTCTTTGTCTCTTTTAACTACAGGGAAGCCACAATGACTCTCAATGTGACCATGCGGCGCAGCAGCAGCACAGTGGTGCAGAGCCAGCAGCGCTGGAGTATTGCCGCTGATGGGAAGAATATTAACGTACAGAAGAATCCCAATGTGAACCTCAATCGCAACCACACCATCCATCACTCAGTAAGGCCAGAGGACTACTACAGGTGCAGTTGGTCTTCAGACTCTTCAGATTCTGTCATTTCCTCAGAATCTGGGAATACCTACTATCGAGTGGTTCTTATTGGCGAACATGGTGTCGGCAAGTCTACATTGGCCAGTATATTTGCAGAAGTGCCCGATTCTCTGGACAGTGAAATGCTAAGTGGTAAGTAAACCAGGTCTGAGTTATTAATGTTTTTTTTTTTTTATTCTGTTTACAAGAGAATTCTTTAAAAATTATGAAAAGAAAATACAGGCATTGACTGAAGCAGATATAGCACATGATTGGCTTTGAGTACTGGCTCACCCTCTCCCACTTTCAGTTCTTCTGTATGGAGATTACAAGAATGTGATGTTCGGAAGGATTAGGTTACTTACATTTGTTGCATCTATAATAAATGTAATGAATTTTTAATAAATATATACTGTAATATCATTAAATGGCATGTTGGCAAGTTGGGATTGCAATATGGGATCATAGCTCAACTTACATAGCTGAAATAAAAATATACAGTTTCTAGATAATTTTATTAAGGACAATTTCAAGTTTTTCAAGATTTGTCCCTTTAATATTCTACCCCTTTTGCAATATAATGTTTTTTAATGGATCATCTGTTTAATGTTGTATCACCATTATAGTTTCTGGGCTTTTTACGATTTCTTGAATAATACATTTTGCAGTATGTATTTATAGTAGGGCCTACTTTGATAAATTGACTTTCATCCACTGATTTTTGTGCTGATTCTGTGAACACATCAGTAAAGTGGAAAATCCCCTCCATTTGTCTTGTGGTTATGACGGTCAGGGCTGAGTCACTAGTATCCCCACCAATCAGTTGTTTCTGGTGTCTGTCAGCACAGTTCTGAGGTTGCTTGAGCAATCTGCTTTCTTACAGCAACCCAGCTCCTCACTCACAGTACCAATTACGTTTGATGGACTTTTCATGCCAGTACTGTAGTAAAAAAGATATAGCAGCTTCAAACAGCTGCGGTCACATTCAACTGAACTGATTCCATAATAACTATGACTTGCTTTACCATGATCTGGATAAATGAGAAACTTAACAGAGATATATCAGATTGTAGTATTTGTTGTGGAATTATCATATTATATTGTATATATCTTTGGGGCACTTTTATGTGATCACTATGTTCCAACCTGCCATGGTCATTACCAGGTATTCCACTATCAATGCTGGATTTTTAGGATATGGTATATTATGAAGAATGTAGCAGGAGCAGTGGAAACACCTTAGGTCATTGGTAAGTTGGAACAACAAGCGAAAGTTTGAAATGAGAAAGAAACAATGGCAAGTAGACCTGTCCTTTGGATATGCAAAAGTTCATCTGGAGATGCAAAGGTCTGGCAAGTAATACTCCATATATAGCAACTGAGACAACTGATCAGTGGGTGTATGGCCACTCAACTGTTGGACATGGCAAAACCCTTTAAAGTGAATAGCAAAGATGGAAACTTTCCCTGAACCTATCTGAATATTCTAAAACCCAGGTTTGCTGGACTGACAAAAAAGTTACAGCCATCCTTGTAATATGATTTAAGATGTAACCAGTTCAGTAGTAGCCTGACCCTGAAACTTTAAAGGGTCATTCTACCCAAAACTGATATCACAGATCAAAGTAAATACTAGAGTGTTCAACCACCTGACCATTTTTTATATCCCTTGGTTACTCTATTGGTAAGATCTCTGCACTTCATCTCCTGGCTCTGCATGCTTGCTGTGGCCACCCTGTGGGGTTCCCACATTCCCTGTTGTTTTTTTTTTTTTTATATATATTTTATATAATGGAGAATACAACAAGGTGCGGAAATAATGGCAGGCAAGAACACCCAAAACTCCCAGCTGGAAAGAAACTGTTACTTTTAGGTAAACTCATATCATTAAACTGGCTGTAGACCAACAAAATCTAGGGTCAACATGGCTGAACTGCTTTTTATTCTTCTAATCTTTTGAGTTCATCAGCCCTACATGGCCTGATTTTTTAAAGCAGTACTTAATTCTATTACAGTGATTGCGCTTTGGAAAACCCTTAGAATTATGTAACTTGTGTTGCTCATCTGACCTGATCAAAACCAAAAATTGTGTCACCAGATCTGCCTGTGTGCAAATCTGTGACAAAATTAAAGAATGTGTTTTTGTGTAAAATTATGTTTAATCACTTTTTAACATTATTTTAGTTCAGACTGAAAAAGAAATTATCAGTGCTTCAGATAATAACACATTTTTAGATAGAGTTTTAATGTGTGCAGTGTATCAAATATAATTTTTATATTTTATCCTTTCATTCATCAGTTCTGTTTGAATTGTAAAGTAAATCAGATTGAAAATGAATACAAAAGTCAACAATGTGAATACATTTCCCTGATTGTGTATTTAAATTTATATTTGATAACAAAAAAAAACAATAACCAACATGTTAGCTGAAAAAAGCATATATAAGGCAATGCAAGTGTAGCAAATAAGCTGTTGGCTTTCAGAATGTGTCTCTCTAATTGAAAGCCTATGTAGAATTCAATTGAACAGAGAAAGAACAGGGAAAATGGTAATTCATCTTAGCTATTCAGCTATGTGTGTAGCTATCCCATTTTGTAAAGTTTTTTTTTTTCCTAAAAGGAGCTTAGAACTCATGATAGCAGGAAATCCCAAATATGAAATAATCATATATAATATCTGATATTTACCTGACTCAAAAACACTACAAAATTGTTTTAAATTCAATGTTTTTTTAGTTAAGCAAGAAACGCACTTTACAGCATGAAGCACTTTAAACCAGAAACTGTTAGACTATGCAACAATATTAGTTTGGAGTGTGCAAGGTTAACTGTGCTGTGAGCGAATGTTTTCCATTACAGAAGAAATCTGGAGTTTATCACAGACAACAGTAGGAGACTTTGCAAATCTTCATCATGATGTTTTATTCCATGTGCTGGATTAATTTCTAGAATATGTGGAAAATTTTTTTTTTGTAATACTCACAGGAGCTTTGCAGCTGGGGTGCTGTGGAAAAAACCATTCCTCTAGAGAGAAAGTCCAGTAGGGACAGCGTATTTAAAAAGATGATTTTTAATAGAGCACCAAAAAAAGTTTGTAGAAGGATATATGCCTGTACTTAGAGGTGACTGTTCGATTTTGGGGATATTTGACAATATAATACAAAATGACAGCAAGTAATACAAAATCAATCAACTCTCCAGCTGGTTAGATAAAAAAACCTAATACAACTTTCAGAATCTCAGATTAAAAATATATGTTTGTTACGTATAATTGAAAATACATGTGAAGCCACACTGCCTTGTCAAGGCACCTTTGTAAAGTGTGCTCCCTAACTCTAAACTGTCTGTGCTACCAACTGTGGGACATATGTATAGCAATGAATAAATGGGAAACAGGTTGCAGGGATTTAAAAAAGGGCCAGACTGGAGTTATCTATAAGTCTTGATCTGGTGACAATGAAAAAAACTGATTTTCCCTTACTTTCAGTCCAAGTGACAATGGTCAAAGAACAAATAGAGGGATGGGAACACAGACAGCAATAAAAACCTTACAGAGGTTATAATGGCTCACGCCATTATTGAAAAAAAAAATTGTCTCTATATATACACTATATTGTCAAAAGTATTAGGACACCCCTCAAAATCATTGGATTCAGGTGTTCCAATCACCTCCATGGCCACAGGTGTATAAAATCAAGCACCTAGGCATGCAGACTACTTCTACAAACATTTGTGAAAGAATGGGTTGCTCTCAGGAGCTCAGTGAATACAAGTGTGGTACTGTGATAGGTTGCCACCTGTGCAATAAGTCAATACGTGAAATTTACTTGCCACTATATAGTCCACGATCAACTGTTATTGGTATTATAACAAAGTGGAAGCAACTTGGAACAACAGCAACTCAGCCACGAAGTGGTAGGCCACATAAAATGACAGAGTGGGGTCAGCACTTGCTGAAGCAAACAGTGCGGAGAAGTCACCAACTGTCTGCAGAGTCAATAGCTGAAGACCTCCAAACTTTGTGTGGCCTTCAGATTAGCACAACAACAGTGTGTAGAGAGCTTCATAGAATGGGTTTCAATGGCCGTGCATCTGTATCCAAGCCTTACATCACCATGTGCAATGCAAAGCATCGGATGCAGTGGTGTAAATCATGCTGCCACTGGACTCTAGACCAGTGGAGACGTGTTCTCTGGAGTGGCGATTCATGCTTCTCTGTCTGGCAGTCCCATAGACATGTCTGGGTTTGGCGGTTGCCAGGAAAACGGTACTTGCCTGACTGCATTGTGCCAAGTATAAAGGTTGGTGGACGGGGGATTATGGAGTGGGGTTGCTTTCCAGAGGTTGGGCTTGGCACCTTAGTTCCAGTAAAGGGAACTCTTAAGGCATCAGCATACCAAGACATTTTGGACAATTTCATGCTCCCAACTTTGTGGCCCCTTCCAGTTCCAACATAAGTGCGCACCAGTGTACAAAGCAAGGTCCATAAAGACATGGATGAGTGAGTTTGGGGTGAAGGAATTTGACTGGCTTCCACAGAGTCCTGACCTCAACCCAATAGAACACCTTTGGGATGAATTAGAGCGGAGACTGCAAGCCAGGCCTTCTCATTCGGCATCAGTGCCTGACCTCACAAATAAGTTTCTGGAAGAATGGTCAAACATTCCCATAGACACACTCCTAAACCTTGTGGACAGCCTTCCCAGAAGAGTTGAAGCTGTTATAGCTGTAAAGGGTGGGCCAACTCAATATTGAACCCTACGGACTAAGACTGGGATACCATTAAAGTTCATGTGCATGTAAAGGCAGGCCGACCAATACTTTTGACAATATAGTGTACTTAAGTATCCATACCAGGCAATAATGACAAGGAAACTCAGCTAATGCTGTGATTTCACCATTGCTAAGAATTAGCGTTTTGATTACTACACTTTTTTCATCTGCAATATTACTAAATAAAGCCACATACATTATGTCTCTTGCTATGTGATATATTGTTCTAATGACAACTGGCGATGACATAATTGCATTCCACAAGCACACCAATCAATTATGTTCATTTGGTATGACTATATAAACAAAATAAAAATGAGGGACAGTAAAAATATCCTGTTAAATAAATACATTCACACATAAGGCATAAATTTACTTGTGTTAAACTTGATAAGTGAGGAAAATATTCTTACTGAAAGTGACACTTATTTGATTTTTATCACAAAGAAAATATATATTTTTGAATTCCTGAGATTCTAACACGCAATGATTTATTTATTTTCTTTTTTAAGAGAACACATATGAGAGGACCCTGATGGTGGATGGAGAGAGCGCCACACTTATACTGCTTGACATGTGGGAAAATAAGGTACTGTATTCTCAAACATTGTCTTTATTTATTGCATGATTTTTACATAAACTGCACCAAAAACATTTGGGGTGTACAACATACTATAGAGTCCATATTGACCAATTAGATTTTAGGTTGAGATATGCTGGGCATTTTTTGTGATTGGGTTACTGTACTTGATGCTTTGGCCTTAACTTTTCACAATAAGACCAATAGTTTTCTTGTAGAATAATACTATGATGATTACAATTTAATAATGGAAACCAGTCATGAGATCCTAGTTATCATATCCTAGTTATCATTATGTCATGCTGCTGGCTTGCTTCAACATTTTGAGTCAGCGGTCCAGAGTAAGTATGCCGATCTGACTTATCTAATCTACATACTTGTTTTAGGTGACTCAGAATAATGAAGCAAAGAGATCAGCATAACAGCCAGGGAACTCACATCTTTACAAAGTGTTCAGCAATGGCAAGCCCCACTATTTTCTCTTAACAGCTTTCCTTTGATATCTGCATAGTGAAGGCAGCTACTATGAAGACATCATAAGAAGATTGCTATTTGTCCAGGAGTAAGAGAGATTATGTTCCAGAATGCAGGGCCAATTAATGGAGACTGAACTTGGAGTAGGAAAGGCTACCATCCTGACCTCTTTCTAAAAATGCTAGTTTCCTGGCTGTCTCTGACGTCAATACTTCCTAAGTCACTAACCGGCACAAGTATGTAGATCAGGAAAGTTAGAGTGAGGTCAGAACTTCTGATGTGCGCACTTATTATAGATCAGCAGTTCAGAAAGTGATGTTTGTCTTACAGCCCATCATAGTAACAGACTGAAGTAGCAGTTTCTCTTTTTTTATTGAAACACGATGTAACAAAAGGGAAAATACATCACAATTTTTTTTTCCGTTTGCAGAGTCAGGATAACTGGATGTATGATCACTGTATGCAAGTGGGAGATGCTTACTTAATAGTATATTCCATCACGGACAGAGCAAGCTTTGAGAAGGCTTCTGAGTTACGTATACAGCTACGTCGGGCACGCCAGACAGAGGACATTCCAATTATACTGGTTGGGAACAAAAGTGACTTGGTTCGATGCAGAGAAGTTTCCATATCAGGTACTGGCCTTTATAAGCAAGCATTCACCTTCCTTACATTACTCAACTTTGGGGTTGATTTACTAAAGGAAAAAAAGGCTGTTTACTTTGCAATGGAATTTTCACTTAGCATAGTGAAGGAAGTGAAGCCATTTTGACTTCTATCATCCATTCATGTGCAAGCAAAAATAATAATTTTTTTTTTTTTTAGCATATTTAAGTTCAAGGCAGCAACCATGACAGTTTACAGAAATGTTTCCAGATACAAAGACTAGAATCAGTGCAACATCAGGATATACAAGCAAACGACAAAATAGAACATCCGCAGTATGACCATCAGGGCCAATGTACCTGAGAGAAAATCTTTAGAAAAAGAAAAACAATAAAGCCTAATAGGCAATGATATCCCCAGAGAAGGTCAGCATACATATCCCGAACCACTGGATATCTGTATTCGCAAAACATGGAACTGTGATAAAATATTTCTTTTTATTTTCCTTGCATGTGATTGGGTTTGCAAAGTGAATTTTCATCACATTTAATAAGCTAAATAAAAATACCCATGCAAAGTGAACAGCCTTGAATGTAAATCAACCCCATAATATCCAGCATCATCCATAAGGTCCAGAAGCTTCAATAAGGAAGTCAAGATAACAAATACGAAGGCGTTCAGCAAAAGCATTTACAACTTAAAGCGTTACTAAACCCACAACAGTAAAATCAGTCTGTATACGCAGTAAAGCATGCTTGATATACTCACTGTGGAACCTAAGGGGTTAATCCTCTGCATTGTGTAAAAAGTCTGTTTGATCTTGATGTCTCTGAACCTCCCCTTCTTCCAGTGCCCCACTCTTATCTCCTGATAAAACATATCATGTGGAGATAATCTCCACATGCTCAGTTTGGTGTGTATTGCTAGAAAGTTTTTTTTTTCTTGGGAGAGTGCATGTGACCAGCACAGGGTCAATCAGCACTGTCCAAACAGAAGTCAGGGGTTCTGCATTTTCCTAGAGCAGACAGAAAACTCCTCATACAGGCTTTAACATGTGCTCTGCTGAACACTGATAGAAGTCACAAAGACTGCTCTAACTGCTGATGAGAAAGATATTTAGCAGTTCATATTTACTAAAATAATTGCATTTCCATGTTCTGTGTACTGTGGGAGACCAGATATAGAGAATGCAGGGTCCTGGGTTTAGTAACACTTTAATATCTTAAATGATAATAAAATCAAGGATAAGGAACTTTTTCTCTGAAGTACCTGAGCCTCAAAAATGATACTTGTACTTAGTTGGGAAGACTACTAAGAAATAGTAAAGCTTTCATATAAATTTTGATTAGCTTTTGTTGGTACTTATTAGAAAGGGAATTTCCCTTAGCTTAGTAAATGTAGTGATAATTCACTTTACGTAATCCCATGCAAGGAAAAATTAAAAAGGAAAACTGTATTTTTGCTGAACATGAATGAATTATAGAAATTAGCAGAGCCTCGTTCACTAAGTTAAGTGTAAATTTCCCTTGTGAAGTGACTTGCCTATTTGCTTTTAGTAACTCAATCTCTATAACTGTCTTACAATTTTAAATGATAGCAGTACTTAGATATGACTTTCTGTTCACAGAGGGAAGAGCATGTGCCGTAGTATTTGACTGCAAGTTCATTGAGACTTCTGCAGCCGTTCAGCACAACGTGAAGGAACTGTTTGAAGGCATTGTCAGGCAGGTGCGACTGAGGAGGGACAGCAAAGAGAAAAACGAGAAAAGGCTGGCCTTCCAGAAGAGGCGGGAGAGCATTCCAAAGAAAGCCAGAAGGTTCTGGGGAAAAATTGTGGCCAAGAAAAACAAAAACATGGCTTTTAAGCTTAAGTCCAAGTCTTGCCATGACCTCTCTGTACTATGAATTCTCTGGACTGGACAATAATTACAAACTATGTTCTCTTGACGGACGTCATTTGGCTATTTTGGGGACAAGAAGCAATCTATATTAGATTGGATAATGACACATATTACTTGTGTTTTCCACAGCCATAATGCAAATGTTTCAGTTTATTAGGTAAACTTGAATATTATTGACTGTTATTATTTATATGCCAAAAACAAAACTGGCCTTGCTTGCCTAATTTGTATTGCTAACTTGTTCCACACTTTATGTTTGATGACATTCTGTTTAATTTTTAAAACATTCTAGCAATCATTTATTATAACTTAAAGCATTACCTTTTGCTTAAGCTTAGAACAATATTCCAATGTTTTGAATATTTTAAAGGGGTTTTCCACTTTAAGGGCTATGTCCTTCTAAAACTGAAATCACAGTTCTTAGGGCTACTTCTCTTTGATTACAGTGGCAACATTTTCCTGCTGGTATTCCTGGCTCTGCTCCACTTGACCGAGGAGTTCCAAGCCTTCTGCTAATGGAAGACCCCATTTTTAAGGTGGATAGGTCTTGGAATGCAGCTGTGGAAATTTTGCTATGGGAGCTCAGGAAATAAATAATAATGCAGTGGGTTGCTTAATTTGTGTCTACGAAACATTAAACCTCAGTTTGGGATGGATTGACCCTCTAACTAAACTAGTATTCCTGCCTTTGCTTTGATCTTTCAGTAATTCCTTTCAAATCGTTAGCCATAAGAAAAAAAGACAATCTCTTCTGCAATGAATACAATTTTAGCATAAAGTGGAAAGTCTTTTTAGAATATTTTGCTGTTCCTCTCCATTTGTGTGGAATGCAACTTCCTTCTCATCAACAAGTCAAGCTAAAGACAGTAATAAAATGTGAGTGTTAGGATTGTGGGGGGACATACAGAAGCATTGTTAAGAACAAATATTACCTTATATATTAAAGAATACCACTAAAACCTTCAGTTAAAGATACAGCAAAATTTAAAACATGTAACATACATCCAATATTATCCTACAAAGGAATAAATGTTTTATTTTAAATCTTTAAATTGGAATTCCACCAATATAAAATATAATATTTTATTGATTCTCTTAACCAATCTGTAGGATTTAATTGATTATGTAAGTGCTCATACTATAGAGGTTGGTAAATTTAGTTGAGTTTGATGTTGAGCTCAAGTTCTAAAATCTCTGAGAGTTCCTGTTTCAGTAGAATGGTCTCCATTTTCTGAAGGGGTGGACCTTGGAAAATTAAATGTGGTATTGCTTAAAATGGTGAGATTATAGGCTTGTGTTGATTGGCTTTGGGCTTGGAGATGGCATCAGTCTGACACACTTCTGAGATCGTTCAGATTTGATTGACAAGTGCTTTTGACCTTTTTCTGACCCGGTTTAAGCAGGTTTTGCATTCCCTTAGACTTACATGGGAATAACAAAGCCTTTTGACATGAACAATGTCTGTTGAGGCAGGCCTTAGGCAGGAGGCAGGACTTCAAATGTCCTGCTTTTATTTGCAAAGCTTAAAACTGAAGTGCTCAATTCAGTAACCCATAGAAACCAACTATATTTCTCAGAAGTTAGATCAGATAAATTTTGACTGGTTGCTATGGCTTACTGGGCTTTGCGCTTAGCTCTTTTCCTTACATAAGCCTGGAAATGTTTGATTCCATTGGAAGCATTTGTATGTAATTACATCAAAAGCTTTTTGTTTTTCACTTTTTAGTTTTAAGTTGGATCTATGTTAAGAGATTCAGAATGTTAAGTTATATTACTTTTAGAGAGTTCAGAAATCTGCTTTTGAACCTGTCATGACTTGCACGATACTAAAGTGCTTGCCTAATTTAATAGCAGGAGCATCTTCACTCTTCTAGAGCTTCCATGAAGTCTTGAAAAAACCCAAAGTGCTCTATTATGTAAATACCTATTTCACCTAGGAAGTTGCCATTGTGCCCTACCCTCTTTCTGCCCATTCCATTTAGCTGGTCATTGTGGCTCTCCATGACAGGTATTGGCCAATGAGAGGGGGTGGGAAGGCTGAAGTGCCAGCACTCTAGGTAAAATCAGTTTTTGTGTAAACAATTGTCCCAGTTTCAAAGTAGGGCAATTTGAAAGAAAATGAAAGGTGTCTTCTTTCATTCATTAATTCATTCTTCAGTCATCTGGAAAAGCCTGCTGTAAGGTCAGGATGTGATTTTGTTGCAATGTAAGTCATCGTAGATAACCGTTGGGTGCCTTACATTAAATATACTGTGCATTTTGTAGCCAGGAGTAGAAATTCATCTGTATAAACAGAGTACTGGGCTTACCTGAAAAACTGGAGCTCAGAAGAAATGGATAGCTAGCTCATACCAGCTGTTCAGAGCTGTCAATTTTTATATTCTGATCTTGAGTAATAGAATGTCTACCAGATTAGGATTGGCCTCTATATGTGTCTGCATCATGTATAATTTTACACAACTTCAGGCTTATGGAGTAAGTGCAAAGAGGTACTGTCCAATGCAAAGTGCATTAACCCATAGTAACCAGTTATTAACAGTTTACTGCAATTACATCAGAATAGAAGTGATTTCTGAATTAACACTGCATGGGTTACTTCATTTGGACATTTTCACTTTGTTCTTCCTTACTAAATAAGCTAGCTAATTTGATTTCATATAGAAGACCCATAATAATGTAAAGTTTTCAGAGTTATAATATGTTGAGACATATAGTTTTGACTGGTTTGAAGGCTATCATTGCATAAATGTTATTTATATGAACGGAAAACTTCTGGGTTTTTACCATTACATATATAAATGCAGAGAAAATGTTACAATTCAACCATTGTAAGCAGGTGGAAATATGTTGCTGCTTTAGCGGTGTGGGATTTTTCAGCCCAGGTACATATTTTTGGATTAGATATACAGAATGACGTATGTCATGTAGGTTGCATCAGAATATAAAATTAACCAATCAAAGAATAATAATTTTACAGAAAGCCTAGAGTTAAACATCTTGTGATCATAAATTCACCAACATTCTGTCATAAGAGGATATTTATTCTTGTGGCTTATGCTGTCTGTTTAAAATCATGTCCAAAGACCATTTTCCAGGAACTTCTTTTCCACAGGTTCTCCAAACGTAATTCATGAGTTTCATAAATCATCAAGTTTCAAGACCCCAAGTATATGTTAAAAAAAGAAAACAAGCACAGCTTAAATTTTTATAATACAGCCATCTGTATACACCTCCGTGTCACCTTTTCTAATCTTCAAATCTTCGCTTTCACATGGTATAAAACACTAAAAAATAATTCCACATAGCTGCACTTCACAAAAACATGTAACACCATTGTCTACTGAATGTAACACTTCACTGTAGACATTTTTGACTTAAACAATGAAAAGCGCTATGTGCTAATTAGAAAGTTCAGTATCAATAACAACCAATCAGAATCCACCTTGCACTAGAATGAGTCCAGTTAAAGGAAATTCTGATTGGTTCCTATGGTTTAGCGCTTTGCTCCTTGCACTGGTTTATAACATAAGCCTTTTAATCATGGTGGACTTGATTATGGGCTAAAATAATCCACAGGGATTATGGTATGCTGTCTACATTCAAAATCCAGGTCACTTTTGTCTAGTCATAATTGACATTTATGTGTTCACAATAGACTGTTTAGATAATGTACTTGTTTTTAATTCACGTTTTTTTTTTACTGCCATTGTTTTAGGCACACAATACAACTATAACAATATTGGGATGGATGGGGGTCAAAAGGCTGTCAAAATGCACTAAAAACTAATTAAGTTTGCCTTTTAAATGGTTACCTGGAGGCTTTCTTACTATCCATTTAAAAATGAATAAGAATTATCCTTTTTAATACCACCCAAACCTGTGGACTACAATGGACTACATTAAAATCTGTATTGCCGAGCTGCCATAATAATATGTGTTGCTTGCTTCGGGCTGTACAGAAAAATATGCATATTTATTATGTAATTTCCTATGAATATTTTGTTAATGTTTTTTCAGATTTTTATATTGTTCTTTATAAGTGAAAATTTAAAATAAAGAAGATCCTTTGCATTGTGTTCTTTATATTTCATCCTTTGTCGGCCCCGGGTTTGCATCATGGTGTTTTCCAGTGATATGAAAGATAGGAGCATTGCTTGTGACAGGGCTATGTAGGGCTAAAGTTGCCAAAATTAAAGGATTGCGATTGTTCCCTTATTTATGGATAAAGGGTAAAGATACCTTTCACTGTATATGTGTTACATCCAAACATCGGCCAAACTGAGGCAAAGATTATAGTCTATCATAATGGTCCTCCAATGTGTCTTTTGTAATCAAGTCATGGTGTCATGGTCAGGGGTCAGGCTCCGAGACCAGTAGCTATAGCAGTAGAGAGGCTCCCACCAACTAGCAGGATAGGTATTCAAGCAGGTCACCCTGACAGATGACACGGGCTCACCTGAGGTGCAGGATCTAAGCACTAACCAGTATTCACCAGAGCTCCTGATGATGGAGATGGGTTTTGCTGTGAGTTAGTACTAGATCACGGTTTCTCAGGATCACCCCACCAGAAGGTAAGTAAGCCGAGACCCAGTAACAGATATGGTAGGTAGTAGGGCTGCCACCTCATTGCTTTAAAACTGAACACATTTTAATTACACAGGTTCTGTGGCTGATTAAGGTGGTAATTAAAATCACTTAGTGCCTTATCTGCAATAAATTATGCAGGCCATAGACGGGTTGTTTATCAGACGAATTTTCGTCCTCAAGAAAAATCGTCCGATATTCATGCCGTTAGTTTGGCCAGCCCGTCGGCCATTTTTTGTGGATCTTCTCGTTTATTTTTTATCAGTCATGCTGGAAAATCCACGAAAAACTCACATTGGTGGCAGCATCGGCAACGGGGCCGACAAATCGGCTGATAAACGGCCCGTCTATGGCCTGCATAAGTCACAGAACCTGTGTAATTAATATGTGTTCAATTTTAAAGAGGTGGCAACCCTTGCA